CCACCACCTCCACAGGGCTGGCTCTGTCTCTTATACACATCTAGATGTGTATAAGAGACAGGGGGTGGGCGCAGTGGTCGGTGGGGGCGCGGGGTTCGTCAAGGGGCCCCAGTGGCAGTTCAGGGACTGGGCCACTTGGAAGCAGGACGGAATACCCTCTGAAGCATTTCGCATACAGCGCATAGAGGGACCATGAAGGGACTGGCTATGCACAGACATGTACACAAGTATACGACCAGGAGCAACTACTTTCAAGCTCGATAAAAATTCTCGAACGCCAGTTACTATTAGAGTACACAAACTCAAGAAGGTGAGGGTAGTGGAGACAGAGGAGTTCACGATTTACGAACTCACAACAGAAGAGGAAGACCTAGAGTTCAACCCAGCGGAGCGGGGATGGAATATGGCGGGAGGTGTGCGAAGGACAATGAGAAGATCAAATATTTTGGAGCACACAACATGCCTCGGTTGCAAGCTTAGAAGGAGGTCTTGCCAACCGGGGGAAACACTGCATAAGAGGTGGTCGGACAAGATGGGAGTACCGCGGGCTCAGCTACCAAGCCTGCCATGGACTACGTTGGATTCGATCAGACTGGGGAGAGTCAGGAGTCTGCAATGGCTCATCCTATACGCCGCTCTCCCAGTTAATAAGTGGCTGTATGAGCGAAGGAGCCACGATCACAGAGACCCCAGCCGGGAGAAATGCGCAAGCTGCAATGAAGACGTAACGGAGACAGTGTCACAGTGCCTGCTCACATGTCAAGGGGCACACAAGCAATATGGGATGTTGTGAAACTAATTTGGAAAAAAATAAAAAAATGGAAAGAAGTGGCCACATCAGCTTTCCCTCCGAGCGAAGCCACTCTCTACTAACGGGCGCAGCATTACCAATATCTTGGCAAGGAGGAGAGAGAGAGAGGGAAAAAAAATCCACCTACTAAGACAGTATGCCCTATGGACCATATGGAAGAGAAGATGCCAAGGCACAATCGAAAGAAGGCTCCCATGCACACAGGCAGGAAGCGAGAAGCACACTGATTGACCTACCAGAAACGGACATTCAAGCGCAATGGAAGAGGGCAAGGCAGCCGATGGAACAAAATGCAGAGAAGGCCAACAAGGAAATCAGAGACGCTTTGAGCACATATGCCTTAGCAAAGGGAGGATATTCACAACAATAGAAGGTCCATGGCTCAAAAAAAAAAAAAAAAAAGAACAAAAAAGAAAAGAGAAAAAGAAGGTCCGAGCCTACGAGGCTCATCTTTAAATGGAAAGGGATACCAGACGAGCAGCAGGAGCACACATCAACCGGAATGCAGCAGGGAGGGTCAGCAGGGGCAGTGGGGAGGAGAGTCCAGCTTCGGTCTCAAGAACACAGTGCAGACCTGGGGCAACACTAAAACGGAACACCCCGCCTCCAGGACCTAGGGTTTAGCAGAAGATTTCGGTACCAGAACGGGGGTGACGACATAGGGTGCTTATTTGGCAAGAAAATACAAATGGACGAAGGATAGAAGGAAGGTAGGGCTTAGAGTAGGTGAAAATAGGCAGAATTCAGCGTAGATTTGGGAAGAGATAAGAAGGATAGGTAATGGTGGCGGGGAGAGTTTTTGTTTTATCTTTGTCGCGGGCCTCCTTTGCGTCCTGTAAAAAGCATAACTCTGGGTGAGGTTCCCAGAAAAAAAGGAGTAGTACAGGGACGAGAGGACAAGAGTAGGAATTGGAGGATGGAGGGTTAGAGGAACCATAAGTAGGCAGAATCTATCTAGATAGGAGGAGGAAAAGGTGAGAATGCTAGGGCTCAGGGTTTAGGTCCAAAGGAGGAAGTATAGTTTTTTTTTTTCAAAAGGCACGTTTTCTTCGGGTCCCAGGAGGTCCCGCCAAAAGCCTAGCACTGGGTAAAGCTTCCAGATCCGGTCTTTATGTGGGGTGGCCAGCCCCTCCCTTTCGAGTAATGAATGAATGTATTTTTTTTTTTTTTTCAATTCAGAGATCGAGAACACCAGATTGAAACCTTGTGAGCTTTTTTTTCCTTTTTTTTTTTCCCCTTTTTTTTTTAACCCTTTGTTGGTGAATTTTCACAACATTTACAAGTGATAAAAAAGTTAATAAAAAGTTATCCCTGAACGGCATTGAGCAGAGAATGCTATATCGGTATGTCATAAGACGAGGGTTAAGAAAAGAGAAAAAAAAAGAAAAAAGAAAAAAAGAAAGAAAAGTGCAAGGAAAATGAGCGATAGTGAAACGACAGAAATCCAGAAATCCAGAATGCAAAATCACATTGAAAGCCAGAAAGTCCACACTGTCCAGAAAGCAGAAATGCGCTGATATTACACCAACGGAGAACCATAGCACCAAATCCGAATGTCAATGAGAGTATACTCTCGCCACCACCAACATATGTATCCAGAGCCCTTCTTCCTACTTGGCACTCAGCGCCCAGACTATGTTCACACAGCTACTACTAGCCTACTAATTGACAATGGATTCAGTTGACGTCAGCAGCAACAACCGAAGCACATGAAGATGTCGACCCTGTGGACCATCGCCAAGACCAGGTACATGCCCTCACATCATCATCCTCATCTCTCTCTCTCTCTCTCTCTCTCTCTCTCTCTCTCTCTCTCTCTCTCTCTCTCTCTCTCTCTCTCTCTCTCTCTTGTCTTCTCTACCCACGTCTTCCTCCCCATACACGAAGACCACCACCACCTCCACAGGGCTGGCTATGGCGCTGCCCTCAGCAGCGCCCGGCATCCGCTAGCGCACAGCAAGCAGCCCGCGAGCGCACTCTCCAGCAGTGCTGCCGCTTGCAAGCCAGTGCCCCAATGTCCCCACCAGTGGCGAGCTCTTTCCTTTATGGAAAGTGCTCGGCCAGTTTGCTGTCTGGCTGGGCCTCGTCTGCTTCCAGTAGCTTCCGTTTGGGCCAAAGTGTCTACGCCCAGGCCCATTCAGACAGTGGCCTGGAACGAATTGGTTAGGCCTGCCCAACCACCCAGGAGTAAACGTGAGGTTCTCCCTGCTTCACCTGCGCTGCTGGAAGAGCCCAGAAGGCTCACAAAGTATTTCTGATTCCCACAAGTACGGAAGATGTAACCAACTGGCGCGTGGCAACTGTCTGGCCCCCATCAAACTTTGCCAAAATTGACGAACTCAGGCGCCCGCCTTCACTTAGGGCGAGCTCATGCTTGCTGAAAGGGCCCGACAGGGGCCTGCCGAGGAGCTAGCTCGTAGCAAGGCCTCGTCGAAGATCCATGCCCACATAGGGGGGTTCCAACAGGCTCTGCTTGGGCCCCTCAGCCTGGTCTCATAATTGGCACATATTTGCAGGCCCGCCTTCACTTAGGACGGGCATGGCCCCTTTCCAACAGTTCCGAGGTACTAAAATCCTTGCAAAAGGGGCAATATCGTAATAGAAGCTGCCAAGGTTGAAGATAGTGCAACATGACGAGGCCCTCTGTGGGACTTCCGTTTAAGGAACCAACTACACCGACCAGTGGCAAAGGGTCCCGCCCAATTGGTGGTATGTTCATGCCTGGAAAGCATGAAACTAGCTGTAATAGCAGCCAGGTTCGCTCTTTTCTCTTCTTTTCACCTCTTCTCTTTTCCTTGCATGTGTGTTTGTGCATCAGTTGGAACCTAGTCATACCCCAAAGTACGCAGCTCCCAAGGGAGAGGGTAGCATAACATGTGAAGGCCCCTATGTGGGGCTGTTTGTAAATGAACCAAATATACCCCGCAGTGGCCAACGGTCCGCCGGCCCAATTTGTGCTATGTTCATGCTTGGAAAGCATGAAACTACTGTCTTCACCCAAATAGAATGCCCGGCTATTAATTAACTTATTATAGCTGTATTTGGGCCCACTTTCATTCTAAATACTGCTATAATGACCGGGCGTTCCATTCGGTTGAAGACGGTAGCTGCAATAGCAGGCAGGTTTGGTGGTTTTCTCTTCTTTTTCCCTCTTCTCGTTTCCTTTCATGTGGATTTGTGTGTCACTTGGGAGCTGTTCTGCCACTGTACTTACCCCGAAGTACGCGTAGGAAGGTCAGCTGGACTCTCAATCCAACGACCGTCAGAAACTCTTGAATGTATCCGATGACCAAGATTGCAAAGTCGAATCTGTTGTACCTGTGAAACAAAACAAAAAAACGCATTGAAAAAAAAAAAAAACAAGAAAAAAAAGGCACAAGTGCTCAAAATTGCCAAGCGAGAAGCGGATGGAGGGAGGTGGTGCATCCCCATTTGGGCAGGGGTGTTTTTTTTTTTAAAGAAAAGAAGAAAAATGGCATTGCTGCTCACATTTGTCAGGGACTAACCGTGGTATAGAGTAAGGACATAGTACTCACTATACCCTATGTTACTATGGCACAGACAAACATACATAGTATGGATACTATGGACATAGTATGGATACTATGGAGTCTATGGACATAGTGGACTATGCAAAACCGCGGTATAGACTAAGGATATAGTACTCACCATACCCTATGTTACTATGGCACAGACAAACATACATAGCATCGATACTATGGAGTCCATGGACATAGTTGACTATGCAAAACCGCGGTATAGACTAAGGACATAGTACTCACTATACCCTATGTTACTATGGCACAGACAAACATACATAGCATCGATACTATGGAGTC